AAAAAATGGATTAGATTGGAGGGTTTCTATTCTGATATCAGAATTTCTACTCACAGAAACAGCTGGAAATGGTACTTCAGTTTCATATTACTTTGCTGTGAGCACATTACCAAGCAAGTGAAGTTTTCAATAATTTCTACTCTTCTTTAAAAAAGACTGTTTCACGGTAAATCTATCACCAAGAGAAGTGTTCAATCACCTAAAATACACTACTGCCCCTCAGAAATCATACAAGTGTTAGTAGAGCTTATTCATAAATAATTTACTACTGAAACTTTGCAAAATGCAGGTGTAAACTCTTATATTTCTGTATATAGGAGTATATAAAATTGACAGATGTGCAAGTAACAGTTGCTAAGAAAACATTTTAGTTGAATTCAGAGATTTAAATAATTCTGGAATGAAAACTCATCTTTTATGAACACATTTAACACTGTTGATGCATTTAACATGAGCTACTTCAGGCAACATAATTGTGCACAAAGCCAACAAAATACCCAGACAATATCCCAAACTGCTAAGTAGAGAGGTCATAGCTCATCTCCCCATGGCCTTACATACTTTTAAGAATGTGACTTGAATAAAAAGCACGTTTCAGACATTGCCTAAGAGGGATGCTAGAACTGAGAGAGAGCGAGCAAGCAAGAAAACCATCAAAGAAAACTAAAGTTCTTTCCTACCTGTTCCAGTTAGTTATCTCGCTCCCAGAGGCTGCCGCACTCTTTTCTTCATCTGTTGTATTCTGTTCTGTCACAGCAGAGATGGACAGTTCTGACAGTTTACATCTCTCCATGATTACCATCTCTATTTCTAGTAAAAAAACAGAAATTTTAAAAAATCATTACTGCAAACTCTTATATTTTACCGTTTGCATTAAAAGAAACTAATGTAACTACACACAAAAAAATACAAAAGGTATACAGACCACAACCTAGAAAGGTTAACTAATGCCTACGTTGGGATTTTATTGCCAAAATAAGCAGAAAAGTTTGTTTACTTTAAAGCTTTCTTTAAGGAATAAGGATATGTGCACAGGCTCATATAAAACCAACTCTTTTTGTCGTTAGCATTAGGTCAAAAAATGGAAAATGTGTAATTAAAATCTACAAAGCTAGAAGAGGTTTTAATTTAGAATCATAAGAATCTACAAGTCAAAAGTGACAATACATTGTAGATGACAGCATTTATTCAAACATGCATAAAATACTCCTAAGCATCTTAAAGTAAAACAGCTGCACCATTTGTCTATGAGCCAACCACCACCCCATTCCCCCTAAAAAACAAACCACACACACACATCACAAAATCTTTAAGTCTACTTAAAAAATGCTCAACAACCACATACAACTATCTGCAAGGTGGTGATTTCACTAGAGGCCAAATAGGAAGAAATGAAGATCCTTTAGTGTATTTTAATCATATTAAAAGACCATGTACTGACTGAATAATTTAACAATAAATAAATAAATCCAGAAAAAGACATGTAAATAGAAAAAAAATGCAGTTTACCCAGGAAAACAAAAAAAAAAAAAAAGAGACATTTCACAGATCAAAAGCTGGTTGAAACCATAAATAACATTATCCAAATTGTGGATATCATTTTTATTTACTGATTTACCTTCATTTTCACTGCTTGTTCTGACACCCTTTGAACTCCCTTCTATTCCTTTAGTTTTATCCAAGTCATCTTGCGAATCCTCAGATCCTCTCTCCTCTTCATCTTCCTCGCCAACATTTTTATAGTTGGGTCTTTTCTGCAGTCTCTTCTTCCCCTTCTGTTTGTTGATTTCTAGAGACCTTTCTAGAGTTTCAGTTGGTTTTATGAAGCATCTGATGCTTGACTTTGCCTGCAAATTTCAATAGTTCATACTGCGCTACAGAGACATTTTACCATAGTTTATAAAGAAACTTAACTTTGTTTGAACAGTATTTTTACAATACAATTCAGCACCTCTCAGAAATTCAAATTAGTTTCGAAGTACAAAAAAGCAGATCTCAACTGAAGTTTATCAAATCATTACTGGAACAGAACTATCTGCAAAATAACGCTTCGTAAAGACTGCAAATTAAGAAGCATGCCATTTTTGGACAAAGATACAGAATTACCTACTTTACAATAAAATTTCCTTTAGAAAAGTAAGTTTTCTCATTCTAAAGTTCAAATAATGAAGCTTACTCAATGGGTGAAGTGACTTATACCAAAATTAAAACACCTTTTGCAAACAGGATAAAGACAGTTAAACCAAAAATGCCTATGAATAACAAGGTATTTATACGTGTGTTCAAACGTCTTATGCAGCATGAGAATGAAAACCAGGGCTCTATGCTGCAAGCTTTTTTGGAATCTACATTTCTTTCAGCTACATATTAGGCCCATGTCAAATACTACAAATTCTGGCAACTGAAACCAGCTCATTTTTTAGACTTAAATAGAACACAGGTGTATCACATTTATCAGCGGTCTGCTTTTCAAGGCAAAGCAACAATTTTGACAACAAAATAAACAGTATTCAATAAACACCCACTTTTCTGAAGATTTATTTATAGAGCAAGAAAATAAATGCAGGTGACGATGCCTCCCAGAGGGAATCGGCACTTTAATGGATTACAAGAAGATCTGTCACTAGGAGGACCAAGGCAACCTGGTTCACTGTATTTGCGCGGGCTGCTTCGGAGCGGTGATGTTTTGCGCTCCCTTCTCATGTTTGCCTTGGCGGCTGCGTTGCCAGAGCACTTGCTTGCCCTTGGCTAGTGAGTGTTTGTACAGTTGTGGGCAGGGAACCTCTCTGCAGCCAAGCACCAACATAGATGGTTTGGGGCTTCCTACCTACACGGGTTTCTGCTGAACAAGTGAGTAAGAGGAACCTCATTCCCTTTCAGACCTTTATACCTCTATCAGATTTCGCTGAAACTGGATGAAAGGTTCAAAACAAAGGGCAAGCAGAAGAAAGGAAACGTGAGAACAAATGCAAAACCGGGATTATGAGCACTGAAACTAAATATATTAGACAGTAGGAAAAAAAAAATCAGGAAAAGTCCCTCCCCACACTTGCTAAGGTGATACATGAAAAGAAAAAAAGATTAAGAAACTATCTTTCAAGAACCCTAGCAGGAGTCGAAAGGCTAAAACATGTTTCTGAACTTGACTTGTTAAAGAGTTTTGCTAAGTCTTGCATAAGGCAGCCTTGCACTTGTCACTGAAACAAGCCACAGCGCAGGAAGAACCTTTCACAACCCCAACCCCACCTCAATCTGCAATGTAGGAAGGCCATAAAACATCTGGAACTATTGGAACTGCTTTCTTTATAAAGAACACGTTGTTCACTGTACTCAACCATGTGAGCAAGTGAAAGAAAGGACCATTTGATAGCAATATGCTCATGAGCACTAAGCTAATATAATATGCTTATATAATTCAAATAGTGTAAAATCAGAATCAAAATTATTTTTACTACCTATAGTTTATTCGATTATACATTTTGAGTTTATATTTTCAAAATGTCTTTCAGTCATATTTTCAATTCTGGTTTATCTTGAGCAATGTTTGCTGGTAAAATAAGGCAGTACCAGTAATTACTTCATACCGGAAGGAGAAAGTAGGTTAAAAAAAAAAGCACACAAAAACACACAAAAAAGAAAAGAAACAGGTAGAACTGACCCACATCCTAATTATGCAGGAAAACAGTTCTCACAGGAAGTAAGGCAAACCTTAACGTGATGATGGCTCAACTCAACAAGCTCAACTCTCATCATGAGAAGGAAAAAAAAAAAAAAAAGGAGAGGAGACGACCTAAGCAATCATTTTTTTCTGTAAGTCTAATTTCCAATAAAGAGCCCCATTTATTCATGCATTATCATTGTTATGTGCTCTGAATAACTCTGGATAAGTTGCCCTTACACATCCCAGCTGCAACACTTCTCAGCTTTGCTTTGCCTACTTGTGTTTCAGTAGGCTGGTACATACACTGGTAGTTTCACTGCTGTTTAAATATTTCATGACATCTCAAATGACAGCAGAGCATTCTTAAATAAATAATGCAGATTTAGAGGTAATCAGCTTCCACCTCACATGGAAATTACCCTAAAAACAACCAGAAGGCTAGGAGAAGAACAGAACTGCCACTGCAGCAAAGCATAACGGAAAGGGAGAGGTTAAAATAAACAAACAAACCTGGGTCTGACTTAAGAACAAGGCCAAAACTAAATTTAAATCCAAAAATAAAGCTTGCTCCCTACTTTTCTATTTTGACTCTAGAACAAGCAACTCGAAAGTGGATTGCAGTAATCTGTAAATATTTTGTAATTCCTCTACAACAGAATGCAATCGGGCAAAAAAGGTGCGATGCCAACGCACTCCAGCTGCGCGTGCCCTCTCTGCCCCGTTCCTTCTGCACACGCACAAGCTCAACAGTCAGCGCCAGCCCTTATGGCAGTAAAGCATCCCCATCTATGTTGTCAGTGGAAAAAAGGCTGCATCTACTAAAACCTCTTTTTTTCCCCCATGAAAATACTTTTCCTTCTTCCACTAAAACTGTCCCAACTTTTCTCTCTCGTACAATCAAGATCACCTCTAGTGCAGTTTTACTAAGAATCTATCCTAGAAATACAATTTCCATGTAGTAACTTTTCAGGTACAGCAGAAAGCTCATTTAATGGGAGGCCAGATCTTTATAACCAATAAGAAGCAACAACCTAAACAGTACCACGAACATAAAACAACTGAGCTTTATAGCAAACACCTACTATTTCTAACATTAATTAACCACACAAATATTAATGTTACAAATATTTTGCAACTCTCTACAATAACTATGATGGTGGGAAAAAAAAAAAAGGTAACTCTCACTTCTGCAACACACAGTGCTCCACCCTCTTGCCACAAATTTCTTAGTAACTTGTGCTGCTTCTGCACAAGAAACGCACCCAAAAACATGCAGGATGCAACGACAAGGTCAGCTATTTCCTAACACGAGAGATTGCTCTATCTCACAGACACAGGGGCAGCTCCCGTATTGCCTCTTAGAGGTTCTTCTAAGCAAGATAAGATTCTAAAAATAAAAGTCAGCAGGGCAAGTGCTAGGTCCAAAAGCTCTGGCAAAAACCAGCCCACGGAGCTTCCACCATTCAACGGGAAGAAACCTGCACCTCTCCCAGCTGCAGGCACTGCAGGGAAGGGCTGTGCACGCGCGATTCATCTGGTACTCACTACAAATCGAGTGTCAGGACAAAACTATATATATATATATTTATATACACACATATAGTGAGAAGCCTATATATAACTATATATATATACACACATAGTGAGAAGTGTCCCTATAATATATAGGGACAAAACTATATAATAGTGAGAAGCCTCTTTAAACGGTGAGGCTGTGCCTCCTTACTCTTACTATGCCCAAATAAGCCTTTGAAGAAAGAACATTTCATAAACTGTGAAACTATATTTATATGAGAGGAAAAAAAAAAAGAAAAGAAAAGAAAGAAAGAAAAAAAACATATACATGAAACTCTTGGGGACAAGGGGGGGTAACAGTAATAGCAGCATCCAGGAACATTTGCAGAGGATTAAATCTGAATGTATATGGGTGCTTGTGCACTTTGAGACACGATCAGCCTTAGCGCTGCAGTCCTGAGAATATTTAGATTTTAAAAAGTGATTTCCCTGTAGTAAAAGGATTAACCATAGAGCCAGTTATATTTTACTAATTCTCTCATTCTGTTACAAGTTGCATAAGGAAATAATTTTGGAGGAAAGAAGTGATGACTGATCTGTAGACTCACTACCAGGAAGTTATTAAGTAAAACTGAAGGCAGACTTCTTTGTAAGGTGTCTCAAAAGAGCTGAAAGCCTCTGCAGAAGGACTAAGTATTTCACCTTGTGTGTTCGCCACATTCTTGTACCACTACCTGCACTGTATATGCAAACATAAACACACAAATACCCTCACGTTGGAAGGTCAGAACACTTAAGCTGCACAGAGCATTTTACTGATGACATATTTGAGGGGAAAAAAAAAGAAAAATATTAAAGCCTCTTTTTCCTTTCCCTCCTAAACATGACCACTTAACAGTTTCCAAATACCCGATTTTATTTTTCAAGTATTTTCTTTTGTCTCTTTTAAGTTAAAAGAAATGGAAATAAACCAACATGCAAATATTAGCTGGCCACTTACTGAATTTTTCTGGATATCTTGCTCAACTTTTGAAGAAAACACTGACAGGTCACCATTAAGAATAACCTCAGCCAATGAGTTCACCAAAGGTGCATAATGTATAATTAGAAAAACCTATTAAAATAAGAAGGGAAAGAAACATTAAATATTACAAGACAATTCCATGATTTCAGCCACTGAACATATTTATTTGGCCTCATGAAACACTTTTACATTAAGTTTATATATACGGAAAGTACAATTATTAGCACCATTCATGAAGCCTATTTCACTAGACATTAGATCACAATTCATCATAGGGATATTTGCCCTTTTTTATATTTTAAACTACTTAGTTTAAGTGTTTCTGCAAGCTTTCCTCCTTCTAAAATAAAGTTATCTTCCTCATTAGCTTTGAGACTAAAGTTATGCAATATTCAAGCAGGGAATCCACATTAAAAGCCCTCCATAGGATGTGGGGCTTGCACGACTGCATGTAGCACACAGTATCCATTAACTTTCTTGCATGTCAATGACTCACAGTACTCCAGTGCACAATTATTTTTGCAGCCCTGCCTACAGCTCATGTCACACAGTAGGTTCATCTGATCTGCACAGAACCAACTGGCATCCAGCCACAAGAGCCATACATCAGCCTTTACGCATTCAGACCATTTTTTAATTTTATTTATGACAATTATGGGCCATGCAGTTAAGTTCTAGTTTTAGTCAGATTTTACAATGATACAATTGTCATTGAGGGGACGTTTTGGTTGTTGGTAAAAATTCAACCCGGGAGTTCTTCAAAGTTTAGATATGTACCAAGTGCAAACCAGTGTCCACCTAAGCTTCACCTGGAGTTACACTACACCCTGCCCTAGCACACTGCCTGGCTCCATTATATGGTGCCTGACACCTGCTTGAGCAATCAGCGTGCTGAGGGCTCCAAACATGATAACACTCACTGAGGAAAGATACTGATTGAAATGAGGAGTTCATCGGTCTATCCATAACACAAGTGAGCTTATATTTTTTTAATTATTAAAACAGATTTAAAGTGTGTTTGCCAAGTTGTCTTTAGACGTTTTGCTTAAATACATCAAAAAAAAAAAAGCTATAATTCCTATTATTCCACTGTTGCAAAACAACATTCTAAATGGGACAGAAGAAGTTAAATACATACTTGAGAAAGAAGATAGAGAGAAACTTGGAGACTTATTTTTGGACGCTCCCCACCCTAAGGAAAGAAAGAAGTTACGAAAAACGCTAAATTACTCATACAAAGTTAAAGTATTTACACTACTATCTATTTTAAAAACAAAATACTGTGTTGTTCCACATCCTAGCACCAAAGCTTCCAGAAAGCATCATGCCACTGTTCAATTCTGTAAATGATTTTGAATGAAAACGTCTATCCTATTAAGCATACACCTAACTCCACATGCTAAAAAACACACGCAACCACACACACAATTGTAGTCTTTCACAGTTGCTGCTTTCATAGCACGCTTTAAGCATAACTTGATCACAAGAACTTTAAATTAACAGACTAGTTGTTACTTAAATATTTCTAAAATACATTACAGATGCTTTAAAAAAAATCAAAGTCATTCCAAGAGGTAAAAAAAATAGCCCAGTTTTAAAATGGTAGATATTTCTGATCTCAGTCTAATAAATGTATTAGTTTGAAAACTTGATTTTCAAGTGCAAAAACCTTCAAGCTTTTCTTCGTGTATTCATTAAAGGAAAGGGTTAGAACAGTCACAAATGAAAGCAGAAATCAGGTAGTCTGCTTTCTGCCCCGTTTCAAATACATCTCATCAATGGCAGGATGAGATCATGATCACCATTCAGTGTTCAGTGCATGTGCAACATATCCAATTCATTAATTTGTAATGAATTTTAGCTCTGTATAATGAAAATATTCTGAAATTCATAGGCACTGCAAACCTTAGGAACACACTACAGAAGGAAAAAAAAAAAAAAAGAGCAGGCCTTTTAAGTGACAACTGAGCACAGGAATCTGGAATTTTACATGCACAAGCTTCATTGAAGCATAGCCTCAACTAAATTTAAAGGCCATATTTTGAAAACTAAGAAAGCTTCCACTATACGTATCACTGCTGCCAGATTCAAATTTAAAACTCCTTGTCCTCACTATTCGTAACACTTAGAAACCAATTTTAATGTACCGTATTATCCAAAACGGTCCACGTTTAGTGAATAAAATTTATCTATACTGGTCTTAGGTGAAGTTCTACAGTATTTCTCTACAGTCCCCTTATTCAAATTCTTCCAAATACAAGAACTTCAACATAGCTAATATTAATCCTACTACAGAATACATCTGCTGGACAAATCACTATACATATGAAAAGTAAAAAGGTCCTTTAAGACTTAAATATTGGCAAGTGTCCCTCACCTTATCTTGATTTACCAACGAATACACATAGAGGGGAAGAAAGAGCCTATTAAGCAGGTGATCTGTCAGCACATCATTTAAAAATTCACAGTTAATAATCAGGATATCGTTCAGGTAATGCAAATGATCAAGGTGTTCTGCTACTAGGTCACTCAGTTTGCCTCTATTTCTGTGCCTGAAAGAGAAGAGATAAAAGAAAACCTTAGATATAAACAACGGCAGAAGTGTTTTCAAAAGCCTAATGAATTCGCATACATTTCTCACAGATGACCTTGCGCAGATTGACTACCAAAACCGATGCTTTCGGTATAGTCACCTAAAACAACCAGTGAAAAGAATTCAGGCTGGCATTTGCTTTAGGATAAACATCTTTTCCCGCCACCCTCCTCCCTCCCACCGAGTTTTCAGAAGCAATATTTTCACAAAAGTTCAGTTTCTACCCTCAGAGTCTTTTCAGAAGCAAATTCCAATAAAATGTAAGGTTTGTTTCCAAAAGTAAAAATTTTATGTTCTAATGTAACTTCTTCACACTTTCCTGAAGTGAGGAGATTATAACTACATTCCAAGATAAGCATATAAACCAAAGGTAACTTGGTAGTGGAATATTACACAGGAATTCCAGATCTGACAGTTCATGTATTAAAGTTCAGCTTTCCATATTACAATTTCTTTCCTAGAAATACTTTTCAGAATGTAGTTCTGATACAATACATAGAGAAGAAACATTAAAAAAGCAAGGTTAATAAGACTGAGAATCACAAAAGGGAATATACATCTTGTGAATATCTAGAATTAAAAATGAAAAAGCACATTACTAAACAATATTATGTTAGCACAAATAGGGAACACAGCACTAAGTATTAATTAAAAGAATCACTACCACAACTTTGAGAGAATTAAAAGCTTGACAGGTCTGCAGGGGACTATATTGAGATTAACTGTACTACTACAGACAAAGTAAGGAGATTATCAAAGTATCTGTGAAAAGCATTTCTATTCAATACCCAGCATTGGTAAAAGCTTACTCTTCATCGGTCTGCACACAGTTATCCAGTTCTATCACATGGCTTCCAATAAACCAAACAAGGTTGGAGAAATAGGGGACAGCAGTTTTATCTCTAATGTAATGCAGCATTGGCTGGTTGTCCACTGAAGAGAAATTGTTAAAGAGAAAGATCAGCTTCCATATTTTTTTCATACAAAGTTATTTTTTGAATTTTGATTACATGCTCGCTTTTCATACAAGTATATACCTGAATTTATCTGATGCACAAAACAGGCATCTACGAAAGTTTCATTACATCTCCTATTGGCTTAAATGACCCTAATACTGATATATTTACATGGGTCTGAAGACAAACAAATCTTCACAATTCAGAAAGTTTTTTAGCACATTCTTTATCAAAAGGAAAAGAAAAAGCGTAAGAATAAAGCAGTAATGCTGAAAGTGGAGCTAGTTAGACTTACATGACACTGCATTAAGGAACACAGGAATCATCAGTGAAGGAAGGGCAAAAGAAACAGACAACAGTTAACAGGATTAGGAACTGGGATAGTGACATCCTCCAAAAGGGTTAAAAAAGCTAAAGCACGAAGCATCTAAACTAGAAGATACAGGGTATGCATTAGATAAGAACATTTGCAAACAGTAGTCAGAAAATTCAATGCCTGCGCTGTTTTCAACTGTAATCTGCATAACACTGCAACATTTAATTGAATATTCTTATTATGAAAGGTTATCGTTCAGTTTAGTAAACTAATAACTAAAAAAAAAGCTACCTACTCTAAAAGGTCTACTCAAAATGTTTGCAAAGTGACTTGTTCATTGCTTCAAGACAGATCTTATATTCTTAAACAAAGACAACTGCCATCAAATCACTACTTCTCTTAACTGACAGCAAGTAGCATTAAATTTGCAATAAAGTCAAATGTAAGAAGTAACAACAAAATTGATAAAAGACTAAGGAGCCCCATGAACTTATTTCAGAATGCTTTGCAGTATGCTGATTTAGGAGACAAATTCTGAATATGCACCCATTTTTCACAGACATCACTGTGGTATTTTCAGTCTATTACATTGAACATATATAGCCTTAGAGAATATTTAGCTAGGGAGGGACTTTTGGAGGTCATCTAGGCCAAATCTTTTTGAAGTAGGACCAACTTCAAAGCTGGGTCAGGTTGCTTTGGGCCTTGCAGAGTCTTGAAAAATATCGAGCAATAATGAGATTCCTCAGCTTCTCTGGGAATCGTGTTCCAGCGCTTAGCCACTGGGAAATGTTTATTCCTCATGTCTAAATGGAATGTCCAATGGAGGAATCTGTAACATCATGCTACTTACAAATACACACTGTAGTTTTGGTTTTCTGATCCATAAAATTCAACATGTGCACATGTAGAGCAGGAACATCAGCATGCTAAGGTTTTCCATCCCATATAACAGAAACTAAACTTTAATATGCATAGCTGAATATTAAGCTACAGTAAAACAAACACTCTGAATACATGCCTTTTCTAATATCAAAAACATACCTTTGTAGACATTTAAGGTTATAGTCCTAACAGCAATTCTGACCATGCTTTCTGGGTGGTTAAAAAATTTTATAGCTTCTGTATACAAAGCAAAGTCATTTGTGTGCTGTAACAGAAAAAAAAGAAAGCATTATGTATTAACTGTATACAGAGTATTTGTTAGGATTCAGCATGAAAATGATTTCCATATTTTGCTTAGATATATTTAATTTTTACAGAGCAACCAAAGTGGTTTAATAATGCAGGGTCAGTTGCAGTGGTAACTTTGAGATAAAATAAATGTTTTGACCGAAGTATTCTAGTCTATGTCCGCACGTACTCAGAGCTTTGATGCCCTCTTTTGGCAACAAGTGGTATGGAGAAAGACGAAAAGAAGGTTTCAGCTTTGGCCTTTGAACAGGAGCTTAATCCCAATCTGCAAAGCCTGCTTAAGAACTGAGTGGCAGAATAGAGGGGAAAAAAAAAGGTCTACAAAAACATGGTAAACACATGACAGGTTGAATATTCAGGGAAGCAGACTTGAGAACTGCTGAAACATTCAAAATAATACTAACTTCTAGATTTAGGTCACACTGTAGCTGTATAAATACAAGGAGCTGCCTTTTTGTATGTTTCTCCAGAGAGCATCATAAATGAATTCTCAATCACTGATATCACCATATAAAATTCAAATTAGAACAAAGAAATCACGTTGGGACTGAATGGAATACATCAACTTGGTATCATTTTTGACTTAAACTCCTCTCATCCTTGCACTGTAACTCTTTCTTCACTTACCTCATTATAAAAGAAGTGTACAGTATGATTGTTGAGTTTCAGAGAAAGAGTTTTCAAAAATGATATGTAATACGCCATGATCTCCTCATCAGAAAAGTCAAATTTGTGGACAATAATAGAATTCACATAGTTATTAGAGAGCAGATAGTCTGAAAAAAAAAAGAAAAAAAAAAGAAATATGTATTGTATATGTATGCATAAACTGTATTTAAAGTACCAGCTAGTAGCAAACTACTTGATGTCTGAAGGCCCCAATTTTTAGCCAAACTCCTCAACTGACAACTTCTAGCAGTAATATGAGAACAAGAGTCAATGGAGAATAGAATACACTTCACCTGCTTTTTCTCAATTTGTGGCCAATAAATCAAACGGCATAAACAAATCATATGTATAAAAACCTCTCTCTCTCTCTTCCTCAAAGTCATATACCCTCAAAGGCTTGTGTACAACTTTCTCTTATTGATAGGCTTGGAGTACACCTTTAACTACACATTAATTTTCTGTCTTCCCATGTTTCTGAAAACCTTGAAGTTACCACATTCCAACTGAATGCCAGCACCAGTGATGCCAGAACAGTTCCAGTAGGAGTTAGATGACAGACTTCCACTGCATAATGTGCATTAGCAAAACAAACATTTCAGGCCACAATTGGCTGCTGAGTTATAAAGGAACCCCTAGAAATATGTGAAGTGTTTCAATGGTATCACATAACTACTTCTGTACTACTGAAAACTCAGAAGATACTTTTAAGTAAATTATTCTATATTTTCAGAAGTGTTCAATTAAAGACTTAGAAATTTTAAAAAAGAGTTGTTCTGTGGCAGGGTATCCGCCTTAAAGTTCAGAAAATGAAAATGATTTAAATCACCTCGATCATTTAATACTAATTTAAAATACGCCCTTACACAGTGACGTTTCATGGCTGATGTTTTCAAAAAGGATGTTCAAGGTCTGCAGCAACTGTACACACACATAACGACCAGATTTCTGACGCAGGATGTTCAAGAAGAACACAAACATGTTCTTCTCCAAGAAAAAGCTACAATACAATAAAGAGTTATCAGTAAATTACTTACTGTATTTATCAAGAACACTATTTTACCAGTATCAAGGATGGTTCTAGGCAAGATTCACAGACTGCATATTTAGGAAGTATTTTGCAAAGTTTTATCTGTACAACAGAAGAAGATTTTCCAAAAGTCCTAGAAAGGAACTAGGGAATTTTAGCTATTGTCAAATTACGTAGTAAAGGAATATAAAGACATAAGGGCTATTTAATCTTCTTTCTCTTATTTTAATGCATCAAATTTATCAGGCAGCTTCCCTGCTTTGCATCCACAAGCTGTCAGTTTTGAAGCTTTAGAGTATCTTATATAAACTAAAGTGAACAAACAAAAGTCATATGATATTAATAGACATACTGAGTAAATCTGGACCTTCAAATAGGCTGGATTCTGTATTTATATCAAAAATGTTAAGCTCAAACAAAAACATTATATGGAAAGGCCTCTGGACTTTGAACACTTTGCTATTAATAAAATGTACTGTTTATTTCAGAATTGATTCTCTGTTTCTTTGCAAGAAAAGATTCTGATTTTATGGTCCTGCTTCTGTTTCTGCTACAGGATATAACCTTTCTACCAACATTCACAAAAGGCAGTCTTAGAAGAGTTAATATTTGCCACTAGATCTCACTATGTAACTCCAAATAATTTTCGGTCTGGATTTTGTTTTTGAAGAATAATTAAAATTACTTACTCGAAAACAGAACTGTCATTCTGATCCCCCCATATAAGAATCTCTGTAATAGAACGAATAGTCTCCACCAGCAGATTGCGGTTGTGATCTGTTACTGTTGTATTTTTGGTCAAAACATGATACATATACCTGAAAGAAAAAAAATAATTGGAATTAATAAGCTTCCCTGTAACTTTTACACACACCATGTTTATCTACAGACACTGTAACTCCATTTAGATACACATACATTCTAATCATTGTACAATTTTAAAATTCTAGGGCTTCGGTTAGTACTGATGTAGAGGGAAAAGTCGTTATTAAACAGAATATATGGCAAATGAAAAAATCATAACTACCCAAACTGATGTTTATACATATGATAACAGGAGGAGAAATTACATAAAACTTGGCCCGTGTGCTTCTCATGGCGACTTAGCAAAATTTATTCGTGAGAACTTAGGCCAAGGAGCCCATATGGAAAAGAGCCAGTCCAGAAGAATGCATGTGCAGAATAAGCTAGAAAACAGCTTGTCTGCAACAACGTTTGTCAGAACTTAATTAATTTGATGATTAACAACCAGGACCATCCAAGATTGTTTCACTCTTCTTTAAGTCTCTGACCATTCAAACATAGGAGCACCATTCTGAAAGGTGGCAAAGTCCAACTCTACTGTCTGAAGAGGGGAAGACTGCAAGAATGTCTAGTGAAGTTAGAGAAACATACATCTGTATTACAGCAGATGATAGGAACCTAAAAACCATGAAAGGTTTGCATCACAACTCTCAGAATTTTACTTAGTCAAGAAAATACATTTTCTGTTTTTCTTCTATTTTCAAAATAATATATGATGATTTCCCTCCCTCAACCCTCAAAAGGAAGATTCTAATAAAGCATGAGAAAACACTCAGAAGATGACTCATTCTTTCATCTGTTTTTTACTTTTATGAAGTAATTAAAAAAAGAAAGAATGTAAGGAAGTGGTACAATTATTATAATAGTTACTAGATACTTAGAGAAATTTCACACAATTTTAAGACTATGAAAGTTTAGCTTACTAAATTCTGACCATGTAGCAACGTATCACTGATGTTTTGAATCTGTGGAAGTTTGTCCAACAACTATGATTCACATTTTAGCAAACTATTAGCATACAACTGTTAAACAGGTGTTTAAAGGCTAAGGGTGCCATTTCTAAGCAGAGCCACAGACACTGTGACCTCCAGCAGCTACTAAACAAAAAAATAAAAATACAGATTTTTGCCAAGCTACCATATGGTTCCAGGAAGAACTGCGCATTTCTAAAACAAAATTTTGGGGTTCCCTGGCTCATGGTAAGTTTCAGAAATGGGTCAAAAACAGACTTGAAAAAGCATTTTAGAAAACTGTATTTCCCCGCAACCTAATCTACCCTGAGAAACTTAATCACTTTACAGAGCGAAGGCTCTGAGCACCACTTAACTGCACAGATGTATAAAGCTGTTCCAACTATTCATTAAACTTTAGAATAAACAAACCAAGATATTACCCAGCCTCAGAACCTTTTTCAACCTTTAACTCAGTGAAGAAATGTTTGACTATACTTTCCGTTTCCTTAAAATTTACAACTGGTTTGGTGATCCTCTCCAACCTCTAACAGTGCTGCCTCTCAGTTGGCCAGAATTTCACAGAATTTACTATAAGACTCAGACCATCATCACAGGCTATGCGGGAAACAGAAGCTATTCCAGATGTTATGAATTTTCCAGTTAGGACAGTGCTTAATCATTAAATAAGAACTTAATGTGTTAGGTACTGCACAAACACACTGAAAATTAAATGAGCAACTCCCCTAAATTTACAGTTAAAAAAAAAAAGATACACCACATGGTCCTTTTCCTCCCCCCAAATCTGCAATGTGATAAATGATAAATCATAATTAAGGTTACTTGAGCAATGAGAGGAGGAAGAGAAAATTAAAAGATGGTAGAAGGAAGAAAAGATATGCCTTTAATGCTCTTCCTGATCAGTAGAAAGTTCTCTTTTTCTCCTGCTCTCCCTGCACACTGTTTTTCCTCAGAGATCAATACCTGTTTCCCAAATCCAGATTTAGAGATGCTCAGTTTGAAAATGGTCATTGGAAAATACGATTCACAGCCACCTCCCACAAACCTAACTACCAAGTCACATGCTGGTCCACAGCAAGAGTCACTCAACTGCAAGACAAAGCTCACATGCAAATCCCCCTCAGTTAACCCGAGTTTCACAAATCTAAATAAATCCGCTCTGTGTGACAGTGTGAAGGGTCACAGGTAAGACCAAAGAGTTTGTAGTTTTGAGCACCTATTAGGATTCCTGAGGCTTTCTAACAAGCACTGAAAAAACTATGGCGCTACACCTGCTATCAGGAACATGCACCAAGCCACCGCTGCGTGCACATCGGTTAATCAGCTCAACTGTTCATGCTACAACTATCTGCTTGGTAAACCTAAACTAACCCTCTTGAAAATTAGTTAAAAGGATAATTTACATTACACTGCCTAACATTTCAGCCTATATATTTGAAGTTATATGTTTACAAGTGTGATAATCTACACATATTCCTGATTAATCAGTTACATGACAAACTACAAGACAAGATTTACTCCAGCTACCAGTGAGTATAAGCAATGGAAAGAATTAAAGACCTCACCTCAGGAGTCACAGGAATGCAGACCTTTACAGACATCTCTAGCAAAGCAAGGAACATACAATAACCATAAATACATTATTAAGTCCAAAATTATTTGTTTGATATAAATGTTCCTGCAAGTTCGCTGACTTGCAAACATAATGCATTAAGAGAAAAATGCAGGCTTTACTTTTAAGCTACTCCTTTATCCCTTTACTCGAAAATGGATGAGAAAGCATGCATGAACTCGTTTCTCTTACAGGTCATATGACATTCTGTATCATGATAACATAAAGTACTGCACAAAACAGGTGCTTTTATATTTACACAATTTCTTAAAAATAGATAGAATCTTTACATGATGATTACAAATTATAAAAGCTTGTGCTCGAAAATATTAACTCCTTATAAAGAACAAACTGTTCTCTCTATTGAAAAGAAATTTAAATAAACAAACATACAAAAGATCACCACATAGGAAGTACCAAAGCTCCTGATATCATTATCAGCAGGAGATTTTGCCAACGGCTTAACAAGACGGAAAATTCTGAATATTTTCTGGTAAGAAACCATACATATCACCGCAATGTATTACAGCTATTTATGAACACAAAAATCACGGAAATATTTTTTCTACTCCTTAAAAACACATTAAAACAGACAACACCTTAGGAAACCAAGCACTCAAATGAGAAAACACTGAACTTAACCATAATACGCTTGCTACTTTATGCTGCCTAAAACTATATAATTAAGATTCGCACAGAGGCAACTCAACATACAGCATGGACAGCACTTCAGGAAATTAATCACATGCAAAACAAGAATCTCCAGCCATACTTAACTACAGGCAGTGCATGTGACCAGGTCAGGAGGCATGGTTAGCATGCAGCTGTAATGGAATGCATCCTGAATGCATAAAAGCTTTTAATTAAAATACCAACTATTGGGACAACGATGAGAAACATATTTAAAGGTAACAACAGGTCTGACAAAACAGTTTGCAAACAGGCTGGAAAAGCAGAAAACAAAATATTATTTGAACCTAGAGACAAAGCTACTAAGCTCGAATTCTAGAAAAAGTTGCTCAACCTTTCACATAACAGGAAAACTATGAACAGAAAAAAATACAATCAGATATCTTCAGAAACAGCCGAGCTTAAGATATTAATACTAAATTACTGGAATGAAGTACATAAATTCTCTTTATCCATTCCACTGTGAAGTTAACCAGCTTAATTTACAGATTGCAGATCAAAAGAGGAAGAAAATGGAAGTGTCCTCTCAACTTGATCTACCTATATATCTACTGAGGTTAGAGTATCTTTTCGCCTCAACTGGCAACAGGTTGGTTGGTTGGTTTGTTTTTGAGGGGGGGAAGAGGGGCACAAAGGGTGTATTTTATCCACAGGGCTCAGCTCCTAAGGTGAGGAACTGCAGAAACAGAGTGCAGTGACTATCACAGCAGTCAGGCAGAACAGCAAGAAACCCCGATCTAGACGAGAACACCTGGTTTGCATGCAAAAGTAGGGAAAATCATACCTGAAAAATCCACGCAAACAAGAAGAAAATGCAATAAGGAAGCAGTAACTTCAGGTTTGCATTACAACTAAAGGTTGTTGCCTCAAATAGCAACTATGCTTTCATTTTTAGAACTGAAAGCAGGTAAAGAACACAATAGAGGAATAGACAGTCTAGCTACACAAACACTAGGAATAGACACTGTTTGAACAGATCAAATGTATTAGGTATTCCGTTTATGACAATTCCATTATAAATTTCACAATTAGAAGATATGACACACACACAAAGCAAAGCTAGCATTCTCAGATATAATTATATACTTCATCTCCAAAATAATTCAAGCATGAGCCATAACACTTCAAGACCTTCCTGCTTTCCTGCTGCAGATCAAACAGGATATTGCTTGTTCTACCTTCCATGGCCACGAGAGAACGTACGGTCACATTTTTTTCTTGCCTAAAAGGTTCCAACGGGCCGAAAACGTCCATCTGAGCTTCATTTCTTAAAACTCAAATTCCATTCCTTCAATTTTCATCGTGCATCAGCATCATTGCTCTCTCTCTCTATGGAGAGTCTACGGACTTGAATTTGTCTTTAAGTGTAATATTTTTAACTGTAATATCAAAAACAAATTCTATCTAAATGCCCCCCAGTGCTAAGTAGCTCAGAATGACTGCATCTTTTATGTTAAATACAACATTTCTATTTTAATATCAAGTACTCCTGCCTTATCAGTTACGTTCTGTTTTGTATTTAATGCACTAGATTTCTTTTTCTTTCTCACACCAAAATTTATTCTTGCTGGTTTTGAATATTTCTCCAGTTCAGAGATAAGGAGTAGAATACATACATTGTCCTGAAAAAGTACTTGTGAGATCCAGATACAAGTGCATCCTACTCATTTATGTCAGAGCCTGTTCAAAACGTCTTTGTAAATAGATTAATCAATGCATATATTTCTCAGTATGTTTTGTATTCACCATGATTTTATTTAGAAAGTACTTCTCCTGTTAATGCTCTCTCTTACTTGTAATAAGTGTTGCCAGCATTGCATTTCTGATCACACATCACTTAATACTGCCGAAAAAAATAACAATTTGAGGGAGGAGAGGGAAGCATCGCAGGCTGTTAATTTACCAAGTTATCCACCAAGATCAATGAGGGCCGAATCAGGAAGAAAATCCTAATCCGAACAGGTCACATTGCCTAAAATCATCATCATTTTTACACATTGGTCAAACAAATCTTATTTTCACCCTATTAGAAAGAATTTTTCATTTTCTTGCAAAGTATTCTGATTTCTCTACAGATAAGCCTGAAGATATTCTCTATACAACATTTTGCAGGAAGATAGAGAAGGCAAGAAGGAAGAACAACACACAACAATAATACAGCAAGAATACTCAAGCATGATAAATATTCTGGCTTCTTCAGCTTCATACCAAGAGAAAAATCACAGCTATTACTTTAAACGCTACCCAAAGCATAACCCTTAAAATCATATTAACTGCTAAAACAAGAAGCGTATTTTAACAGAACTTAAAAAATTGAAAATGTGTGTTGTGCCCATGGAAACAGTGAATGAACAAATAATATGCTTACATTAGGATTTATTCATTAGTAATATTCACCTAATCTAAACAAAACCCAACAGATCTGTATAGCTTTTTAAGTTTAAAACAAAATTAGCTTTAGGACACTGGACGTAGCTCCTCTGAGCTGCTTTCAGACCAGTTTCTGACAAGAGTGAGGCACTTTAAAAGTTGAGTCTGGCAATCCAAGAACATTATCATGGCCATCCACAACAGTGAGGGAACATTAAGAGAAGTCAGTTAAAAACAAAACCTGCAAATTCAGTTAGCAGACTGGGATCATATCTCATTTTCCAACAGAAAGAAAAAAAAAGAGAAATAAAAATAAAAATAAAAAAACAGAAGCTCAACCAGAAGGAGGTCTCTGACAACTCTCTGCTCTATCACTCGCACCATTCAAATCCAGACCTGGATACATACTCAAGGAAAACCTCTATTTTCAATGTCCTGCTCCAAATCTATGTAGGAGCTGCCCATTCAAGTCCAAACCTGTATTAAAGTCACTCTTTGTAGCTTGAATACCACTGCATCTATGGAAGGCGAGGGAAAAATAAATAAATGAGGTCACTAAATGGCAGAAAACATTTCAAGCAGGGAACGTGAACAGTATCAATGTATACAGCACTTCTCAGTCCACCAGAGATAATGCCATGACAGTTTTCACTTCCTTAGTTTCCCTAAAATAGGATGGCATCTTTCACTTCACAAAGACACACACGGACAAAAAAAAATGCCCCTTGTAAGCTATCATTCCTCAGTAGAAAATTACAACCAGGTGCTGTAGCAGAGTAACTGAGCACCAAGAGAAGCTCTAAGCATAGACCCCGCTGATTTTCTTGCAGTAATCAGAATCCTTTTTAATCCCTCCTTCCCTCCCCCTGCCCAGTGGCAGGGCTGGAAGCTGTTCTGACCCTCCTGCAGGTCGCAATAACGCAGATGAACACCGCGATCCCTGAGGTCCATAGCTTTCTTTTCCTGCCTCCCCGGGCCTGCAGAACTGACCGTTGGGAACCTCGGCTGATATTAGGGTATTTTTCCTTTCTGAAAGCCCCACGCTGGTGGCCGCTCGGGCTCCCAGGACACAGCACGAGCTCTCACCAGGAACACGGCGTTCCCGCGTTTGACACCTATGAAGCTCCACTCCCCAGGGCGAGCCCGTAACGCAGTGAGAAATAAAAGCCACGTATCCCGGCCCGGAGCGAGACACTGCGCCACGAAGCTCTGACTGCCCTGAAGGCAACTGGGGGCCGCGAGCGCCGTCAGAGCCGGGAGCGCCTCACGGAGGAGCAGGTGGGGGAAGAAGCGAAACCGCGTCACGCGCAACCCCCCGGGCTCCGCAGCAGCTCCCAGCCGCCCCTCAGCGCCCCGCTCCCCTCGCAGCCGCCGGGCCCGCGCTCACTTGAGGTGATCCAAGGAGTGGATGCTGCGGGAGGCCTTGCCGTGCCCGCCGCCCACCCAGCTGCGCGAGCGGCCGAACATGGTGGCGGCGGAGAGCGCAGGCCGCACGGCCCTAGG